GGTTAATATGGCCATTGACTCGCTGTACACATAATATTTCTTTAAAGAAGCTGTTAAAGTGTCATCTTGGTCTACTGGAAGGTCAGTTTGTGCAATTCACTCTATGACATATCGCAAGCCCTCGCAGCTTTAGCCAACCTCATGATTTGTGTTGTCTGTTGATACGTTGTCTGCTTAATGGGGCGATCATGCAAGCTACAACCAGGAACAAAGCCCAACAGTTCCAACAACCGTAGCTAAGTTAGTGGAAGCAGTACAGCTTGCAAATCTATCAAACTAAACTGCAAGGAAGACAATCTGATTTAGAGAAAAGGCGTTCTGCTACAGTCATTAAGCACAAGTAATTTAGATTTTTTATATTGTCTTCTCATTTACAAATTTACTGTATCAACGCCAGCCAATGGAACGAATTTCTTAAGTAAATGAGAAATAAATAAAAGAGATAGAAAGATAATCAAATTACATAAAATAATTCTTATCCCCTAGATTTATTTTTTTAGAAAGCTATTAACACTGGCAAAATTATAGTAATAATAATAACATAGCATAAGAAGTAATTGATTTAAATTAACATCACGTTTTAAGGAATATCGGGGGAGGGGGGAAGGAAGGAAGGAAAAAAAAAGAAAAAGAAAAAAGCCCAAAAACCAAACAAAAAACCATAGCCAACAACAACAACAACAACAACAACGGCCTTCGTGAAACAGTGCTGTACTTCTTGGAGTAAAAGGCCCAAGGAAAGTCAAGAATCCACTGCCTGAGAATTAGTTATGGTCATAAATGCCTTAAATTAAAATAGCAACCGAAATCTCCTCTGTTTTAAATCTCCTAATATACGTTGCCCGAATTAATTTAATTTAGGGACCCAGTCTATGCAGATTCATGGGCAGTGTTGGAGTGGAGAGCAGCACTTCTCGTGTAACAATTCCCCACATTAATATTTATGTAGCATATGCAATCTATTTCTGTTATTTTTATGGTTGTTATTCTATGTCTGCAAAGGTCATTTAAATTATACTGCGGCCGAAAATTTGTTTCATAAATTTTGATATAAATACTAATTACACACTATAGTAATGCCAGCAGGGATCCTTTCATTTATCACATTTATATCACCTTCGCTGCTTTAGTGATGACATAATGGAAAGCAGTGAAAAACTGGGACAGTTTTATTCTAATATCCTAAAGCTAGTTGGAGTTGCAGCAGGTTGACTTAGCGAATAAGAATTCCTACCACAATTCATGGGATTTAAGAATCTTTAATAAGGTACGAAATGTTACCAAACAGTTCTGTAAACTAAATTTTACATACCAATTCTTCTAGCCATAAATATTGAATATCTTGTAACATGTATAACCGGACCTTTACATGCGGATAAATATGGAAATTAGGATTTATATACATTATGTTCTTGTATTTGCCAAAAGCAACGGACAGATATAGTTTATATCTTTTTTTTTTTTTTTTAATATCACTTTACATAAACAAATG